TCGGGTGGCACGATATACCCCAAAACACCCTGCTACTTTGTAGTAACCGCCTTCCCTTAAACTCCAATACGTATAGTATAGTTAATATTACTCGCGTCACTGTAACTAGCCAATTAACGGGTAGCAGAAATATGAATATCTATGTATATTTAATGTTTTTGTGCGTTTTCATGTCATACCGCAGCGTCCGTCATTTTTGCCTTTAAAACGCTGCTAGTTCTAAACGGCGTAGTAGATTTTGACTAAATTTGGTCTGGAGCATCCTTGGGTGAAGGGGACTCAATTTTGTATAAAAGGTAGTTGTGACCCCCCTTGGAGCTGAGGGGCTATGCCCAATAGGGGAAATAGATGTTAAACCTTCAAAATCCTTCTCCTACCGTAGGGATTAAGAGATTACATCTTTATTTAGTCTGGAGCATCCTTGGGCCAAGGGGGCTCAAATTGGTATAAACCGTGGGTCTGGCACCCCAGAGGCCTGAAGAGCGGGGCCAAATAGGGGAAACGGTGTATTTCGTCATCTTTCAGATCAATATCATCATTCAATTCAAATTGCTAATTTCGTCACATTCTATGACAGGATCGTATGAAAGGCCGTTCATGTCAAAAACGAGATAAACTAACGTGTTAGCATTTAACGCGTTAAAACATTATATAACACGTTAAATGCTATCACGTTAAATATATACTTCTAACGCGTTAAATAATCAAAACTATTTTAACGCGATAAAACACTTCCCAAGTTAAACGCGTTAAATGTTGTACTTATTAGATCACCTGGCACGAATTAAAAGGTATATAATCTTCATATTTGGCTGGATGGAGCCCAACAAAGTTTGCGAATGAAAATGACCTTGACCTTCTTTCAAGGTCACAGGAGTCAAATGTGTCCGACACTTCAAACGACTTCTTCTGAAGAATTAAAAGTCATAAAATTATAATATTTGGCTGGTGACTTCCCGGGATAGAGCTCACCAAAGTTTGCAAATGAAAATGACCTCAACCTACTTTAGAGGTCACAGAGGTCAACAACATTTTAATGGATTTGTTCTTGAGAACTAAAAGGAATGGATTCATAAGATTTGGCTGTTAGCTTTTTGGAATAGAGCTAACCAATTTGAGAAGGAAAATGACATTGACCTACTTACAAAAATATGTCGGCAACTTTTGAAGAAGAATCAAAAAGCATAGAATCTTATAATAATACTTTGCTGGTAGTTTCAACAGATGAAGCCAACAATGTTTGCGAGGGAAATATTTTTAGTGCAATATAATATTTAATGAGAATATTTTGCTATGACTGCTTAAATATTCAGGTGAGCGATACAGGCCCTCTTGGGCCTCTTGTTTCTCTTGTTTAAAGGAAATCCTATCAACAGTGGATTACTGTTATCTCGTTGGCTTTGGTGGGGATGCTGGCACAAGGGACACTCTTATACAAAGGTGCTTGTTTTATAGAATATTGTACTAATAATCTTATCATGGATGAAGGATTATTTTGGCAACGAACCATAACCAGGCCTAACGTTTATGCAGGAAAATTCGTCACATTAGTAAGGGCTTCAATATACATCTATCAAAATGCCGATGAGCACCAGTCAGTACAGAAGAACATTTGACTGAAACTAACTGATTAATGTTGTTTGAGAAAGATGGCTGGGATCGGCTGAGATGAGGTCAATTTACAAGCATTACAATAAAGATTCCGTCCTGAACAAATATAAAATTCCAAATCGGTGCCCAAAAAAATAGAGAAAAGAGACGGCTAAATTTTAAATCGTCACACAAAAAAAGTTATAATGAGCCATTTACCCTACCAGAACTTGGAAGATTCGCTTAGAAAGTGACAGGACTCTGCTTCATGTCCTAATGATATTCCATATCAATTTCTCAAGCAATTACCGGACTCGTCACTAACATGCCTTCTTTACATATTCAACCAAGTTTACGCTTCCGGAAAGATTCCCGTTCCGTGGAAGAACTCCACAATTATGCCTATCCCAAAACCGGGAACGGATGCTACTGACCCAAACAACTATCGTCCTATTTCTCTGACTAGTTGTGTATGTAAAACTACCTGTAGCCCTTGGAGCTTTTCGAACAACACCTGTAAAAAGCCTGTACGTGGAAGCGAACGAACCATTCCTTTATGACAGAAGGAAAAAAAATTTCAGCTTAAGGATGTACTCTTCTGAGGTTTCAGTCACGTTCAAGTCTCGTTTTGATCTGGTGTAACGGGTTTTTGTAATACTTATCAAATTATAATAGGTTTAATAGCAAACACCCATCTGAAAAACATGTAAAAAAAACTAGATGTCTGTTGTGTGTAGAATTTTTTTACAAGAATTTGAAAGCAATGACCAATTTGACGGCCATTTTGAAAAAGTGTATGTGAATTTCTTGCGCTTCACAAAAAGCAAAATTTCACCTTTTTGACACTAGATTGATCACTTAAATTGTCATTGTGTCACCATTTTTAAATGTAGCAGGTTCAATTTTGCTGTACAACTTTATAATGTTCAATATGATTAAAATAATATGCAAAAAAGTGGAAAGTTATATATCATTAGTATTTTTAGCTCACCTGGCACGAAGTGCCAAGTGAGCTTATGCCGTGGCGCGGCGTCCGTCGTCCGTCTGTCTGTCCGTCCTCGTCCGTCAACTTTTCCTTTAAACAACTTCTTCTGAAGAACGGACAGGCCTAGAGTCATGATATTTGGCTGAAAGCTTCGTTGGTAGGAGCCCTACAAAGTTTGAGAACTAAAATGACCTTGACCTGTTTTCAAGGTCACAGGGGTCAAATATGTCAAAAACTTCAAACGACTTCTTCTGAAGAATTAAAAGGTATAGAATCTTCATATTTGGCTGATGGCTTCCTGGGATGGAGCCCAACAAAGTTTGAGAATGAAAATTACCTTGACCTACTTTCAAGGTTACAGGGGTCAAATGTGTCAAACACTTCAAACAACTTCTTCTGAAGAACTGAAAGGTATATAATCTTTATATTTGGCTGGTGGCTTGCTAGGATAGAGCCCTACAAAGTTTGAGAATGAAAACTAGTTTGACCTACTTTCAAGGTCACAGGGGTCATATATGTCAAAAGCTTCAAAAGACTTCTTCTGAAGAACTGAAAGGTATAGAATCTTTATTTTTCATTGATGGCCTCCTCGGATAGAGCCTGACAAAGTTTGAGAATGAAAATGACCTTGACCTTCTTTCAAGGTCACAGGAGTCAAATGTGTCGGACACTTCAAACGAATTCTTCTGAATAACTTAAAGGTATAGAATCTTCATATTTGGCTGATGGCTTCCAGGGATGGAGCTCAACAAAGTTAGAGAATGAAAATTACCTTGACCTACTTTCAAGGTCATAAGGGTCAAATGTGTCAAACACTTCAAACGACTTCTTTTGAAGAACTGAAAGGTATAGAATCTTTATATTTGGCTGGTAGCTTCCTGGGATAGTGCCCAACAAAGTTTAAGAATGAAAATTAGTTTGACATCCTTTCAAGGTCACAGGGGTCAAATATGTCAAAAACTTCAAACGACTTCTTCTGAAGAACTGAAAGGTATAGAATCTTTATATTTGGCTGGTAGCTTCCTGGGATAGTGCCCAACAAAGTTTAAGAATGAAAATTAGTTTGACATACTTTCAAGGTCACAGGGGTCAAATATGTCAAATGCTTCCAACTACTTCTCCTGAAGAACTGAAAGGTATAGAATCTTTATATTTGGCTGGTGGCTTCCTTGGATAGAGTCCAACAAAGTTTGAGAATGAAAATTAGTTTGACCTTCTTTCAAGGTCACAGGGGTCAAATATGTCAAATGCTTCAAACGACTTCTTCTGAAGAACTTGAAGGTATAGAATCTTTATATATGATTGATGGCCTACTTACAAGGTCACAGGGAAAAATATGTCGAGCAACTTCTGAAGAAGAATCAAAAAGCATAGAATCTTATAATAATATTTTGCTCGTAGTTTTAACAGATGGAGCCAACAAAGTTTGCGAGGGAAATATTTTTAGTGCAATATAATATTTAATGAGAATATTTTGCTATGACTGCTTAAATATTCAGGTGAGCGATACAGGCCCTCTTGGGCCTCTTGTTTTTACATATTAGGGTAACTGAAGCACTTGATTTTTGACAACGAAAAAGGTGAAAAATAACACAAATAATAATGCGACAAAAAAAGAAGCACACCGAACCCCCATTTTTGTGGCTGTTTTAGAAAGAGAAACACATTTTCTTTTGATTCATTGAATACCAAAAAAAGTTTAATACAGGATATTTTTTATATCAAGCGTTTAATCTGCAAAAAATGGTGAAAAAAATTGCATTTTTCATTAAATGGGGTAACTAAAATCGCATTTCTGATCAAATGAATAAGATTAAGAAATTTTACTTCCATAATTTAAAAGAAAATAATATTTTTATCAATTCTACAAACATTCATACATATCTGATAACACACTTGGAAGAAATTGTATGAATTTGTTCTGCAAATGTTCAAAACCCTAAAATTAACCTAAAAAAACCTTTTGTGTTAAATTGGTATCTTTGACCGATCATAGCAAAAAAACGAACACACGACATATATTTGTTTTTGCATTTTCTACTATCCCATTATATCCTTTTTCCAAAAATCAATATAAGAAAAAAAGTTTAATACGGGAAAGTTTTTGACTTCTCGGAGTTGTACATCCTTAATTAAAATCAAACCCTAAAAATCCTGTATTCAACCCAAAATATCAAAGCATCTTTATGCAAAACTTCTGCCTACATTTGGATGTGAATTTCAAATTTCCTGCAAAAATTCAACACAACGTTGACTGACATAGCTGAATTTAACATATCTGATGTTCCTCCGTGGACCATTCCAATCCCTGATTTTAACTTTACATTACATGAGCGAGGGAAATGAAGTGTTATGCCTGAAGAACACAAATCCTCCTTTCGGGAATACATTTCGAATTACCCTTCTCAAACACAACTTTACACCGATGGTTCCAGAGAAAGTGGAAACAGCCTGCAGCACTGCTAATTCTTGCACTTCAGTTCGACTACCAGACACCCTCCATCTTTTCTGGCGAAGCATGCGTCATTGGTTTGGCCCTCGACCATATCAATGAACACCGCATTAAAAAGGCAGTCATTTGTTCAGACTATCTATCTGTCCTACAGAGTTTACAGTTACGAGATCCTAAAAACACACTCTTACAAAACCCTTGCTCTTCGAATATCTCGTATTTTAAAAAAGTCAAAAATAACTTTACTATATGATTCCGAGCCATGTCGGAATTAAAGGCAACGAATTTGTTGACAGTGAAGCAAAAAATGCATTAAATCTCCCAACAAACAAATATCAAACTACCATATACATATTTTAAACAAGTTATTCGTAGTCATTCAAAATGAATCATATATTCCTTATCTCTTTTATTATCTTAACCCCCTTTTTAGCTCACCTGGCACAAAGTGCCAAGTGAGCTTATGCCGTGGCGCGTCGTCCGTCCGTCCTCGTCCGTCAACTTTTCCTTTAAACAACTTCTTCTGAAGAACGGACAGGCCTAAAGTCATGATATTTGGCTGAAAGCTTTGTTGGTAGGAGCCCTACAAAGTTTGAGAACGAAAATGACCTTGACCTGATTTCAAGGTCACAGGGGTCAAATATGTCAAAAACTTCAAACGACTTCTTTCAAAGAACTAAAAGGTATAGAATCTTCATATTTGGCCGATTGGTTCATGGGATGGAGCCCAACAAAGTTTGAGAACGAAAATTACCTTGACCTACCTTCAAGGTCACAGGGGTCAAATGTTTCAAAAGCTTCAAATGACTTCTTCTGAAGAACTGGAAGGTATAGAATCTTTATATATGGCTGGTGGCTTCCTGGGATAGAGCCCAACAAAGTTTGAGGAAGAAAATTAGTTTGACCTACTTTCAAGGTCACAGTGGTCAAATATGTCAAAAACTTTAAACGACTTCTTCTGAAAAACTAAAAGGTATAGAACCTTAATATTCGGCTGGTCATTTCCTGGGAAAGAGCCCAACAAAGTTTGCGAATGAAAGTGACCTTGACCTACTTTCAAGGTCACAGAGGTCAACAACATTTTAATGGATTTGTTCTTAAGAACTAACAGGAATGGATTCATAAGATTTGGCTGGTAGCTTTTGGAATAGAGCTTACCAATTTGAGAAGGAAAATGACATTGACCTACTTACAAAGTCACAGGGAAAAATATGTCAAGCAACTTCTGAAGAAGAATCAAAAAGCATAGAATCTTATAATAATATTTTGCTGGTAGTTTCAACAGATGGAGCCAACAAAGTTTGCGAGGGAAATATTTTTAGTGCAATATAATATTTAATGAGAATATTTTGCTATGACTGCTTAAATA